AGTTATCTGCATTGAATGTGGTTATGGGCCAACCAATAAAAACAACCTACTCTGGTTAGGCGGGTCCAAACTACATAGTAAAATTGTGATTTTTTTATTTGTATTATCTCATGCTTTGTATTTGAATAAAAATATGAAAATTAATTCCTTTAAATATTGTCATTGTGTGGATACCGAGATCACACAAAAGTTTCGACGTCCGATTTGGTTCAGGCGTTCTTGTGCCATTTTTTTTACAAAAACGATACCTGCATTGTTTAAAGAACTGTGGAATTATTGTTGGTGAAAATCCGATCAAGAAATTGACCATATTGTTTCTTCTGACTGAATGTAGAAGTGCGCTGAAATCATCTCCTCAATTGAAAAAAAATCTTCATCAACAAATTGCAACTAACATTTTGAAATTAGAAAAATTTATAGAAAATTCTCTGAAGAGAAAAAAAAAGTAATTTTTCAGAAAATTATTTTTAATTTAAAATACCATCAATTTTGTAGGAAAGAATGTTCAGTTCTGAATCAGTTAGCTGGTTCTGAAAAAATCAATTAGTGAGAAAATAATGTAAAAAATCAATTGGTGAGAAAATAATGTAAAAAATCAATTGGTGAGAAAATAATGTAAAAAATCAATTGGTGAGAAAATAATGTAAAAAATCAATTGGTGAGAAAATAATGTAAAAAATCAATTGGTGAGAAAATAATGTAAAAAATCAATTGGTGAGAAAATAATGTAAAAAATCAATTGGTGAGAAAATAATGTAAAAAATCAATTGGTGAGAAAATAATGTAAAAAATCAATTGGTGAGAAAATAATGTAAAAAATCAATTGGTGAGAAAATAATGTAAAAAATCAATTGGTGAGAAAATAATGTAAAAAATCAATTGGTGAGAAAATAATGTAAAAAATCAATTGGTGAGAAAATAATGTAAAAAATCAATTGGTGAGAAAATAATGTAAAAAAATTGCAATCTTTAAAAACATTTGATGCCTTTTCTAATTTAAATTTTATCTTTTTACCCCTGGAAAATGTGTAAATTTTTTCCTAATTTTAATCTAAAAAATTGCCCATTTAATTTTAAAGGGACTGCACAGGTAATCTTGAGTGATCCTCCATTTAGAAAGAGGGACATGTTAGATTCACAACTGTAACTGTATAAACATCTACTGATGTGAACATTCGACCGAATATTTATTGAATTCTGACAATTTTATCTCAGTTTCAAGGATACCGTTGTTAATCGTACATGACTTTCTTTAATTTAAATGGAGTGTCACTTGAAATTACGTTTACAGCTCATAGTCCCTTTATTTCAAATAAAATGTGATATGTATTTATCAGATAAACTTATTTTGCTTATTTGCGCCCATTTTTTGGTAAATTTGAATTAGCTTATTCAAGAACTGTCCAAAAATGTATAATTTGTCATATTTATTTATTTTTATTAGGAAAACAAAGTGAATAAAATATAAAAGCTTATTAAAGAGTAAATCGTTTTCTAAATTCAGCTCCTTAGATCTCTTAGTTGAACATATTTTATTGACACATTCTTCAAAGCAATTGTTTATTATTCAATTTAGCATCAAGCCATTGTGAATTTGAAATATAAAGTATAAACCAAAACTTCTAGTCGCTAAAGTTTTGCAAAATTAAATGATGAAGTATAGAAAATCAATGATTTGATAACTAAAAATGTGACATTATACGTATTTCAATAATAATAAAAAAATTCTAACTCTCGGAATTATCTAATTTAACCAAGAGCCGGCAGAAACTATCTTTCAAGCAACAATTGTGAATTTAACCCGTATGAGAACCCTTCAGACATAACTCAAAAACTGTTCATTGCTTTTATTTTGCCCAACTATATCCCAGACAGACATTTTTGGGTCTATGAGTGGGAAAAGTGTTGTTAAATATCGGTATAATTTAATTTACCCCCCCCCCCCCGGGTATCCTGGTTTTCGAGTACCCCAGCAGAGATAGGGTTAATTTAGCATTTGCCTGACTGGCTTATCCGTGACGTTAATCAACGACAATCCTAAAATTAACTGGTTTGGAGGAGTAACCAGTAAGAATGTTATCTATTTAGTACTAGCTTAGGGACCCAGCGTTGCCCAGGGTTGTAAGTGTTAGTCCCACCGTATATCGTAAATTACGAGTTTAACTATTTTTTCCCTCTAAAAGTCTACCAACCTAATTTAAAATCTCAAAACAAAGCTAAGAACATTCCTATTGATCTCCTGAGTTCCTCAATCCTAGTTTGAGGCAAATCGGTCCAGGGGTTTATGATGTATGATCGGACAAAGAAACATACAGTCAAGAAGAGATTACAACTTGATATACAGTTAAACCCTAAATGAGCCATACATCGAAACAATTTATCAAATGTTGTCTTGGCAATTTTTTTATACTATTTTACGTAAATCTCACTACTTGCGAAAATAAATAAATAGCCATAAATATGCGGAAACAGTAAGTATTAAGGATTTAACTGTATATAGATTGTTTACCTGAAGATCTAGTACTGCAGGAATATTAGAATCGTAAAGTATAACGGCATGAGTCCAGTTGGCATTCAGAACAAAATCATGCACAGCCTTAATTAAGAAATTAGTGAAGAGATATCATTTATTCAATCTAAAGAAACTGTGCCCTTTTATGCCTAATAATGCATGATTTTCATTGTAGCCAACGCAAAACTGTCAATAATAGTATTATTCTTGGCATTTCCAAAAGATGATTTCCAAAAATGGAGGGCAATTTTAAATATTCCTTTGTTTTTACATTTCATTGTTGCGTCATGGCATTCAAGCCAACAATTGTAATAGAAATTTGGCTGCATTCTGAATTAAACATGAGGAAGAAATAAATTGGATATGGTATTCATTAGGACTGGGCCCGGTCCAACTTTTTCTAGCTGTTTTGTTAACGGTTAGTTCCAACCATTAAAAAATAAAACTTCAGTTAGCCGTTAATTTTAAAGGTAAGAACGGAATGTTTGTTCCGTTTACGGCATTTTCCGTTTTTTTATTAAATTACTGTTAGTTAACGATCTAAATTTTATTGACGGCGTTAACGGAAATTTTTCAACAATCGTTATTGGCTCTAGCCATTAATGGTACCGTTATTACAAAATGAATGGCGCAAAAAAATTGTCAACGGCACAGATGTAAACCATGTATTACAGTATTAAAGGCATTAACTTTAAAATTCGGTGATGATGATGGACCAAACCTCTGTAGTTTAAAACAGTAGATGTTAGTTCCACATTTATTGAAAATATATTTCGGTCTGGGTTAACCCTCGTCAGTTCTAACGATATAATAACCATTAAAATTGATAAAAATAAAAAATAAAAAAATAGAATTAAAAAAATAAAATAAAGGCATTAACGGTGAACAAATTTCGTTAAAGGTTAAAAAATCGTTAATGGCACAGCCGTTAACGGTATATTACAGTAATAACGGCGTTAACGGTGAAAAAATTCTTTAACGGTTTATAAACATTTAAAAACATCAAAACGCCTTAAATTTTTAAAATAAAAAACTGCATGCAATTTTCATCAAAAAATAACGAAATTTAACGTTTTTAGCTTTATAGTTAACATTTGTAACCGTTATTTTGTTTCAAAAACGGCTTATCCGTTTCGTCAACGATTTAAACAGTTTTTGCCGTACGTGAACAGACTCTTACGTTATTTTTCGAAAACCTCCGTTTCGTTAACCGAACTTTGCCCACCCCTATAATCATGGACGGTACGACTTTTTTATTTTTTATTTCACATGAATGAGAAAAAAACCTTATTTTTAGATTTTTTATAAACAGGTCATAAGAAAACAAGTTAAATGTGTTTGGAAACATAAAATACTTCAAATAAAATTAAATGTGGTAAAATTTCACTTAAATGCGTCAAGTGAGTAGTAATATTTTTAGTGTAAAAACTATACAGTTTCTAGATAATAGTCAATGTTCATTCCTTCGCAAAACTAACTAACTAGATATAAGACAAAATAATTATATTAGCTTGATCTATGGGGTTGCAATATTAGCTAAATAACATGTTTTAAGTCTTTTTAAATTGATAAAAATAAGAGTTTGAAAATGTTTGTAGATGATAATATTTATTCTTTGATGCAACGCTCTCAACAAAATATCTAAGCGCATATAGTTGATTGTTTTTTTTACAAACAACATATTATGAAAATGTTGTCTGCTATCCAACTATAGTATTTCTCAAGATGTATGCAGAGTTTTATAATGACAGAAGTGGGTTAAAGAAACTTTCTTACTTTTTTACTTTTTTCCTTTTTTTTACTTTTTTTACTCTTTTTACTTTTTTACTTTTTTTACTTTTTTTACTTTTTTACATAAGATTATATTGTTCCTTGTGAGTCCGTGTTGTAATTGTATGATTAGTGTCACAATATGTAAACAGTTTAGCACGTTTTTAATCGTATTTTGTCACGGATACTACGCTGTCCGTTCCAAGAAGATGGTACGTTATAAGTTATGGCATGACAATAGTCCATGTCCGTGACAAGAAGATGGCACGTTTTGAGTCATGTGGCTTTACCGGTATAACTTTTACACATCCAAGACAAGAATATATGACGTTAAAAGGAATTGAGTCTTTGTCATAAACTCTGATTTTCTAATTCCCATATCTTTACAACCCAATGTCATAAACCTTAGATATCTTAAACTATGAATTCTGTTTGATCAAATTTTTTAAGTTTGAAATATTGAAGGTTTACACCTTCAAGTTCCAAAGATATTGTGATAAGAACATTTGAGTTTGTGGCAAAAACTTAGTTTCTTTAAAACATTTTGACATTTACATAAAATCTTACCTTATTAATATGTTTAAATTGTGGATGTATTTTCAGGAAAAGATTGGAACTAGACTGTAGGTTACCACTCTGTTGAATTAAATTGAATTAGATTATTAATATGCTTTTTTGTTACTTCAACTATTTTTTTATCTCAATACTTATAAAATAAACTGTATAGCAGGAAATAAGTTTTCTACTTTTTATAAATTGTTCGTTATTTGTGAATATAACTTTGGAGCGACCCTGTAAATTTTTAATTGTCAGTATGGTTTCAATGATAGAAAAAAAACTTTCAATCGATTCAGATAAAACAACTAAAATAAGTTGACATTTTTCAATTTCAATAGTTTCAGATAGAAAAAGTATCGTAAATTGTCAACTTGTTATATATTTATATAGAGGTATCACTAGCTGAAGTCCCCAGCGTAGACCGTGGAATTTTAAAGAAATAGAATAAATGTTGGAATTTTTTTAGCCTTTGTTATTTCCGGGATGCAAAGAATTTCAGCACGTTTGGTTCACCCGTTCGGCCAGCCATAGATATATATATATAAGCAAAGAGCTTTATTTCATAGATTATTGGTTATCATTGTAGAACTTAAATGCAAGGGGATCATTGAAAAGTCTTTGACAGCTCCTTAACATCAGCATTTTTTATGATTTCATATTTGTTCATCTAATTGTATATTTATATAATAATACATACATATCATTTATATTTGCATTCAGTCCAGGATAATACTGCAGAAATAAAAGAGCAATAACACCAAACACAAAACATACATTATACATACTCCCATAATTTTACAATTGGATTATGGGGTTTGATGTTTAAGAATTAAAAAAATATTGTTATTATTTTAAACCATAAGTCAAATATTTTCTGTGGTCAATAATTTCTAGATCAATTTATATTTCACGGGTTTGACCTATTGAAGATCTGGATGAGTTCCAAGTTAATAATAATTTCAATTTAAATAACACGAATTTCAAATTAATTATGATTTGGATTCTTTTTCACAGATTTAAATTATCAATCCCCTCTTACCCTTTAGTAAAAGTAAATTCAACCCGAAGTCAGACCGCGTCAACCTTGTTGCACCGGCTAGTCCTATTGAGTTCCTTTAACCAAATGTCCGGGCGATACAGTACAAACTGGGACCGGAAAGGTTGACCTGTCTCGGAAATTCAAATGTACTACGGCTGCCCGTGAGGTTCCGAACTTACGATGAGTCTCTGAAGTCTGAATTAGTTTAGCGATATTTCAACTAAAAAGTTCAACCTCTGAGTCGTTACAATTAATAAACACACATATCTACAGAAAAAAAGATCTTAAAGGGAATGTAAGCGTAACTTCTAGTGACCCTCTATGCAAATATGAAAATGCCCGATTCACAACGGTACACTTGAAATTTGATCAATAATAGGGAAGATATAGCCGTTTTCCTGAAGTAGAAATGCGCATTGCCCAAGTTACTGTTGTAGAAAACCCACAGTTGAAAATAATCAGTTTTCAAAATTATGAACATTGATGTCTCATTCATACTAGATAAGACAAAACTCTTCAGGTTACCGTTGTGAATTGGACATTGCCATCTTTGCATGGAGAGTCACTTGAAATTACGCTTACTGTCCCTTTAATTTGTACCTGAGTATCCAGAAAGGGTATATCTAATCCACTGCAGATGCTTTGGACATGGATACTGGACAAATGGTCCGAGGGACCAATCTTTAAAAAAATAATGTTTATTAAAAAATGCTTGCTAACGCTGACCCGACTCTAAAAGTTTCCTGATTCGAGCCCAACCGATCCCTTACAACATATACTCTATTTGCATTCAGTCGTACTGTCTAGTCTGAACTACCCAGAGTTGAGTCGACCCAGCATGTTTTATGCAACAAATATACCCTGGCAAGATCACTGTGCTATGCCTAAAGAGGTATAAGTTTTATTGTAAACAGCATTTGCACAGGCTTGGCCCTCCTCCCTACTCAAGAATACAATACAATCTTTCTTACATTTTTTTAATCAAAAATGGTCAATAAAATTTTCCAAAAAAAAAAATGAATAGAAACCATTACCGTCAATGTTAACTCAAAATATGAATATTTGAAATAAAAATGATGTAAGCAAAATGTAAATATATTTATTGATAGTTTATGCAAACCCTTGTCAAAGGGTAAATAAAGAATAGTTTTGAAACTTTCAAAAGATGTATTTTAAAGTATTGAATTAGCTTTTTGCTACTTTTTCCAAACAACATTAATAAATATAAGGTTTTAAATGTAACGGATACATTTGCTTTAGTCGCAACTCCCACTAATACGTGCATAAAGACTAGAGGGGCTACGAGGTCTCAAAGTCCAAAATATTTTTTTATTATAGAATTAGCATTCTTTATCACAAAAATAGCGTTCTTTAGCATTCATTGTAGTGTTAGCATTCTAAATGGTTCTTAAACATAAATTACCATTCTTTATCATAGTTTTAGCATTCCTTATCATAGAATTGGCATTTTTTATCATAGAATTAGCATTCTTTATCATAGAATTGGCATTTTTTATCATAGAATTAGCATGTTTGATCATAGAATTAGCATTCTTAATCCCAAAATTAGCATTCTTTATAATAGAATTAGCATTCGTTATAGTGTTAGCATTCTTAATGGTTCTAAACATAAATTAGCATTTTTTATCATAGAAACCCGAATCTCCATAAATTTAAAGTCAACTCAAGCTTTATCTATATAAAGCGGCATACACTTTTTTAACATCGGAGATTGTAGTAGTGAAAGCATAAGGTTATTCATATATGATATCTGATAATACTTTAGAGAGGATCAGACGTAGTATGAACATAATTCCTTGTTTTTTTCTGACAACCTTGGTTTTCTTGACCTTTTTACATGAACAGTTATTGAGTTTACGAATTAGAAACTATTTTTAGGAAAAAAAAGAACAAAAAAACTGAGTTTTGGCCACAAACTCAAACTTTTCTGACCTTATTTCTTTGCAACCCGATGTTTGAAGATCAAAGGTTTACACCATCCGGTTGCAGAGATATAGGGATAAGAAAATTTAAGTTTGTGGCAAAAACTCAATTCCTTTCAACCTTCTAAACTTAAAATTTAATGAGTCGTCTTTTTAATATTTTGGATAATTAATAAGCTACTTACCACGGCCTGAAATCCTGATTTTATTCCTTTACAAACTGCTCGAATCAACTATTTTTCAAACTCTTTGTTTGCAATAATATTAAAAAATTCTCAGAAAAATGTTCTCAAAAATATCTGATTTAATAGAGCTATATTTGCAATAAACAGATTTAAAAGACAATTAATGAAGTTTTGACAAATGATTTTTTTTAAAAATTGTTTTAATGATTATTCAAAAATTTAGAAAATGTTATAAAATTAAAATTGTTTTGAAGTGATCCAAATGAAATCCAAAAATTAAATACGAAATGATAAGATTTTTTTTCTTCAAAGATCTCTTTACAAAAAGTAAGACTTTTATTTCACATGATATTTTTAGTATCAAACGTTCAAAACTTTTTATGATTTGTGTAAAAAGAAGGTAGTTTTCCTTGAATGAGTTTTTATCAGAGTATATTGGGAAAACCTCAATGCTAGAATCTTCCAAAAGGTTTTCCGCCTAAATAATGGACAAATGTAAATGTCGGCCAAATGGTAATTTATGGACAAATGTAAATGTCAGGCCAATGGTAATTATGGGCAAATGTAAATGTCGGGCAAATAGTAACTATGGAAAAATGTAAATGTCGGGCAAATGGTAATTATGGACAAATGTAAATCTCGGGCAACTGGTAGTTATGGATAAATGATAATGTTGGCTAAATGGTAACTATAGGCCAATGTAAATGTTGGGCAAATACTAATTATGGACAAATGTAAATGTCGGGTAAATGGTTATTAAGGGCGTAAATGTCGGGAAAATGGTAGTTATGGTCAAATGTAAATGTCGGGCAAATAGTAACTATGGAAAAATGTAAATGTCGGGCAAATGGTAAAATGTAAATCTCGGGCAACCGGTAGTTATGGACAAATAAAAATGTCGTGCAAATGGTAATTATAAGTTATGGTCAAATGTAAATGTCGGGCAAATAGTAAAATGTAAATCTCGGGCAACCGGTAGTTATGGACAAATAAAAATGTCGTGCAAATGGTAATTATGGGAAAATTTAGATATCGGGCAAATGGTTATTATGGACGTAAATGTCGGGCAAAAACTAATTATGGAAAAATCAAAATGTTGGGCAAATGGTAATTATGGACAGATGTAAATGGCGGGCAAATAGTAACTATGGATTAATGTAAATGTCGGGTAAATGGTAATTACGGAAAAATGTAAATGGCGGGCAAATAGTAATTATGGACAAATGTAAATGTCGGGGAAAAGGTGGATTTTGGTCCAAAGTTAATTTCATGAAAATGTAAATGTCAGAAAACGTAAATGTCAGAAAGTGTAAATGTCATGTAATTGTAAATGTCAGAAAATGTAAATGTCGGGCAAGAGTAAAAGTCGGAAAAAAATGTAAATGGCGGGCCAATCCAATGCTAGACAAATTTTCTGAAAAACGTTATTAATATTGTCATTTATATTGTAATTATTGTGAGGAAAATTTATCAATAATTATTTACCCAATCAATGTTTTTACTTTGTGTTTGTGAGTTAAAAAAAAATATCAAAGTTGATATGACAAGATATGGTTTCTGTTTTCGTAAAGAACATGTAAACACTTCCCTTGAACTGGTTTTAGTATTAAATTAAAACCCAGCGAGCAGTTTTACTTTATCTTGTAATTTTTATTTTTATTTTAAACCTAATATTTTGTTTAGTGGATTCCCAACATTTATATTTTCTAAAATATATTGTCTCTGCTTGTTTAACATGTGTACAGTATGAATTATTGTTCCCTACCAAAGATAATCAAGTCAGAGAACAAAAAATGTTTTTTTTAAAACTTTCGTGCAAGGTTTTATTTCAAGGGTAAAATTATAGAGATGGGCACATTCATTCGTTAAAAGTTTGCTTACGGTCCATTTTGTTCGTTTACGGTCCATTTAATTCGCTTACGGTCCATTTAGTTCGTTTATGGTCCATTCAGTTTGTTTATGGTCATTTTAGTTCGTTTACGGTCCATTTAGTTTCTTTATGGTCCATTTAGTTCGTTTACGGTCCATTTAGTTTGTTACTTTTAGATTTATTCAATTCTAAATTGTTCTCGTTCTTCATTGTATTCACTATGTCAAACAAACTCGTTTGACATTTATACGGTCAAATGTATAATTTACAAATTTGGGAACAGTCCCTTTATCCTCCGGTTTTATTCGGAGAACATCTGTTCTGGGGAAATGAACGAATTAATGATTTAAGGGAAAGAGAAGAAAACATAAAATCAGAAAGTACAATCCAAATAAAGTATGTTTGGGCCAAAAGGTGTACATCTTGTTTTTAAATACATTCTTGTTTTCATTCTTTTTTCAAATGAAATTTTTCCTTGTTCATTTACAGAGCATCCAGACATTTACAAAAAATCATCTCTAAAATGATTTTTAAGTTATGTTTGCTTATTTTTCGGATCATATCAAAGTATTTTCATACATTTTGCGTAATATTTTACTACATATTAAATTATATTGAAGTATATGAACGTATTGTAATGAGTTGCCAATAATTTAATTATAAATAAATTGTCGGCGTAATTTTAAAGGGAGAGACTGATTAAACTCTGGTTTTTAAATTTGTTTTATAACGACGACGAAAATAATACAAAAAATTATACTGTATACTGTAACCACGGTTTTTTAAAGCCATTTATCTGATTATTTATCAGGAAGATATCGTCGTTTTCCGGTCTGAAAAGATTTTCTCGATTTGTTTTCATTTAATTCCTTTTAAATTTAAAGAAACGCAACTGAAAATTTTCATTTTCTATATATATTGAAAAAAAGGATAACTTCAAAAATTTTTAAAAATAGATTATGGAGACTGGAAAGTCCTTTAATATTACGATCAGATATTCTTGATCTTTGTGCGAGTATTAGAAATAATTATTATTTACGAGTATTAGAAATAATTATCATGTACGAGTATAAAAATAATGATTTTGTACGAGTATTAGAAATAATTATTATGTACAAGTATTAAAAATAATTATTATGTACAAGTATTAAAAATAATTATTATGTACCAGTATTAAAAATAATTATTATGTACCAGTATTAAACATAATTATTATGTACGAGTGTAAAAATAATTATTATGTACAAGTATTAAAAATAATTATTATGCACCAGTATTAAACATAATTATTATGTACGAGTGTAAAAATAATTATTATGTACGAGTGTAAAAATAATTATTATGTACGAGTGTAAAAATCAAAATGAAACGATTTTCACACCGAACATCGTGAGGTGTCAAAATATTCTTATTTTTATCGAAAACAAACTAGAAAAAAAATCACAGCAAAAACGTTTTATTCAATTTTATTTAACTTATTTCATAGCAGGTCAATAAAGTTACTTTATCATCCTGTTGTAGGGTGATAAAGTAACTTTTTCAACCTAAAACGAGAAATGTTAGGTATGAAAATCGAAATTTAATAGCAGAGTGAAAAAGTCACTCTACAACGGAAAATATTATGTGTGATAAATTTCCAAAAATTGAATAAATGATATTTTTTATATTTTTGCTCCACCTTGTTTATAATTTCTGCTGAGATAGCTACTGCTCTTGGGACTGTGGAATTCCAGTTTTCTTGGCTAATAACAACTCCTTAAAAACAATATAAATGAACTCATACCTGCAGCCTCAAACTATAATTATCCCTAAAATTATACGTTTTTGAACAGCCCTTGAGATAGCGAACTTAAATATGCAAAAATATTTGCAAAATTTTTCAAAACTAAATGTATATTCAAGAAAAATTGAAAATGTGTCCATTCTCTTTAAAGAAATCTATACAAAATGTCTACGAAAAAATTGTGAAATCTTTTTTTTTGTTCAAGATTTTCCTAAGAGCTACAAAAATCGAAGTCCATTGACTGGAAGTAGGTCTAAATACAGATTTAGACTTGAAAAGATAAAATAAGGCATTCAGGCAGTATGCATGAGGACTAATAATAAAGGCCTGATTTGAGCCTAAAATGATCTTCAAAAAACATCAGTGACACCCCCCCCCCCCCTCAGCTGGAATAGGGTTGAGGCAAATTAACCAAAATGTTAATTAATTAACTTGTTGTTAAAATACTAATGAAGTATCTACATCAAGGAATAAATGTTCAAACAGAATTTATTAAAAGATTAAATTGTAATTAAAATTCCTCATTTGAAATCACAACTAACAGTTTTAACAAAAACGACTCGGTTGACAGAAAAGTTACAGGCTTATATCGGGTTTCCAGAAATTAAATGCTACCTTTAAAAATTCCATTTAATCAAAGGTTTTAGGAAGACGATACCTGGCCTTCGTAGAAGGATTCCACATCAAGCTACGCGGCAAGGCTCATATAGTTATCTCTTGTGTTATATAAACAATCTGATAGAGTTTCCCTTCGCGTAAATATATATATATAAATACCGGAATAAGTTATATCTAAATCTTTTTAGAGTCCGTCCTCATGGCCTTTATATTGGTCTATCACGTCGGGGTCACCATTAAAGAGGCCCTGAGGACGGACCCTAATAAGACTCAGATGTAATTTATGTAAGTATATATATTTACAATTATGCTAAGGGAAACTCTATAAGATTGTTTATGGTCACGCAAGATAACTATATGAGCCTTGCCGCGTAGCTTGATGTGGAACCCTTCTCCGGAGGCCAGATATCGTCTTCCAAAGGTTTTCATTTTTTGTTTTGGTCTTATTTCTTTTGTGCAAGATTAAAATTTTAGCATAATGCAATAAAATCAAACAATTTTCTATTTTTCTACTTGAATTTATCGAAAGGCATGTCCGATTCCTTTGAACCTTTATTTAAACAACAAAAAGAAACATTTTGTCGTGCAATTGAAAATAATGAAATTTTAGATTAAAAGACGTCGTTTTTCTCAGACTAAGATTTGAATGGTAACGTTGTGAATCGGAAAAGGTCACTTAAAATTACCTCTACGTTCCATTAAAAAGCTTTCAAAGAAAACTCGAAAATGTCTAAACAACTCATAAAATTATGACCCTCTCCAGATCTAGAAAACGAGGACCCAGAAAATCTTTAATTTAAATTGAAACAAAAACATTTTTTGGCTTTTCCACGGGAACTTACCAACTCTAAACCTTGTATTTTCCACGGGAACTTACCAACTCTAAACCTTGTATTTTCCACGGGAACTTACCAACTCTAAACCTTGTATTTTCCACAGGAACTTACCAACTCTAAACCTTGTATTTTCCACAGACACTTACCAACTCTAAACCTTGTATTTTCCACGGGAACTTACCAACTCTAAACCTTGTATTTTCCACAGGAACTTACTAACTCTAAACCTTGTATTTTTTTCACAGACACTTACCAACTCTAAACCTTGTATTTTCCACGGGAACTTACCAACTCTAAACCTTGTATTACCACAGGAACTTACCAACTCTAAACCTTGTATTTTTCACAGGAACTTACCAACTCTAAACCTTGTATTTTCCGCAGACACTTACCAACTCTAAACCTTGTATTGGAGAATTGAAAACTAACTTTCACAAACTGGAGCAAAAATGAAAGATTGATTAAATCTTTCTTTTTCATTTTTATTCAAATCTGAAAAAAGTTAATTGCATCGCTTTAAGTTTTTATTATTTGAATAGTTTCATGGTTTCCCAAATATGCGTTGAAAATTAAAGTTTCCCTGTCATATCATAATGTGTATATTATATCACATTTTTTATTCACATGAACAATAATAGCGATAACTATGGCGGGGGCGCGTATATCCCTTTATCTATTCGATCTATCTTTTTTTTTTGTTAAAAATTTGTAGGATTTCCCTTTGTTATAAAAATAAAGTTCATTAACTTAAGAAGGGTGGCCAAATTACACATATAGAGCTTTACACTCAACTAGACAAAGAAGAAGAACGTCAAAATGCGACATTACTGGTAGGACTTTGTAATCTCGTAGCTCCTCTAGCTTTAATTCTACGCACACGGATGAGAAAAGCAAATTTATCTATTAGAAATTAAAAACTTTTCTCAGGCCAAATTTAAATAATTTGAGCCTCAGCTTAAATTTAAGCGGCGGCTTAAATATGGTTTGTTTCACTTAAAATCATATTTATTGCTTCAAGATTTAAGCCGGTGCTCAATTGAAACCGGTTTTTGGCGGATTTAAGACGCGGCTCAAATTCATTAAATTTGGGCACTGTTCTTCTAGTGATCGCTTTTTCATAAAAGGAGTTAATATTGAAATCATATAAGATTTAAATGTTAAAAGTTTACATTGGTTTGATTTGGATTGAACGCTGAAATATTAAGTAAAACATACAGTAATTTCATAAATTGATAAATTTGTAAGTTAAGTGTACCCTGCATGCATAGATATATAATATAGTATACTGTTTACATAAATAAGTTTGTAGTTGTTAATGTAGTAAATAAAATATTATATCTTCAAGCATATACATTAAATACAGATATATTGTGGAAAACAATCATGTATACTAAATTCAGAATTTAGGAAAATAAAAAAGTTGGATTAGAATCAAATACAAACAGTAGACTAATTATAGTTAGATTAGAACCAGAGACAAACAGGAGACTAATTATAGTTAGATTAGAACCAGAGACAAACAGGAGACTAATTATAGTTAGATTAGAACAAGAGACAAACAGGAGACTGATTATAGTTGGATTAGAATCAAAGACAAACAGTAGACTAATTATAGTTAGATTAGAACCAGAGACAAACAGGAGACTTAAAATACTTGGACTTGAACTAGAGACTAACAGGAGACTAATTATACTTGGATTATAGAACCAGAGACAAAAGAGACTGATCATAATTAGATTATAGTAATAAAAAACAAATTTTAATCGTATTAGACCTGCAAGTATAGAAGCCAGAGATAAATTTTGACTTAAATTATTATGATAATCGTTTTGTAATTTATTCAAGTTTATAAATTTTTCGATAAAAGATTGAATGAGTCTAGAGAAGGGTGCGTTTGGCTGTTCAAAAATTTTGTTGTTCATTGTTTGTGAACGACCCTTTTCCTTAGGGTTTTTTCTCAAACATTATTTGAAAAAATTGTTTTCGTTCGTTTTCAAAATTATCGTTAAATTTCCATATACTTCGTTTATTTTCTCAATGAACAAGATCGCTCAAACAAATCGTTTGTCAATTTAAAATTATAATTTTTTAAAAGTTTGTTAGAAAAAATCCACAATTCTGTAAAACAAATATTTTATTTTCAATACCTTTAAGAACATTTTTCCGTTAAGTAAAAATAACTATCGTTTTTAAGTTCATTCGAATGAATAAACTATAAACAGTGCAGATGGCGGAAACGTTATTTCTGTGTGTCTGTACAAAAAGAGTGTGTGTAAGGTTTACTGAACCGAAGGCGTGTACTGTAGGTATATACTGTACATAAGAATCTCGGTATTTGTGCAGTCTAGGAGAGTACATTTGTTTATTGTTAATTGTTTACTTTTTAAATAATTTTAATATACATGTAGTATATTATTTAAATATTTAAGTCGAAACTTTAAAGCCAAATTTTCATGCAAAGAATATAATTTGATTAAACTACTCGTTATTCAAGTTTAATTATAATTGACGACATTGTTCTGCAATTTCCTTGACTGTAGTCATGTTGTGTGTCTGTACCAAAAGAGTGTGTGTAAGGAATACCGAACTCGTCTGCAAAGCAGTGCGACTGGCTCTCTCATACCAGACCAGCGCAATTTCCTTTCCCTTTATTCCTACTCACTGACTATAAATTGTTTGTTTTTTAAACGTCATTTTTTTATTTTCTGAACAATTCAATTAGTTCGTCCATCGTTCATTTTTTCGGAACGACACCAACGTTCATGAAAAATTGTGTTCGTTCCGAAATATGTTGTTCTTACACAAACATGATGCCGATGTCTAAGCCCTGCTGCTGTAGCATATTTTGTATATTTTAGAATTTAAAAAGTTTCCTTGCACGATAGATTTAAACAATAAACAATGAATCGTAAAAGCTGTCTCTTTCACATAATAAATAATTCAATATAAGATTATTGACAGTGTCTACTGTCTTATTTACATTTCAAAAGCTCTATTTAACTTTTAATTGGGGCTCTTTCTGTAAGCATCTTCTCTTTGCACAGTACACAACAAAAGTAAACGTTCGCGGATTTTCAAATAATTTTTCGCACATTTTTTAAATTTCACAAAAATCAAAAGCTTTTTGATACAACTTTTTGTAATTCTGAGCATCCATAAACCTTTCCTTGGGTCATGCGAGGTCCCTCAAAAAATTTGGGTCTGATCGGTTCAGCCGTTTTGACGTTTATTGGTTTCAAACAGACAAACAAACAGACACCTAAACAGACCAGCAAAGTAATATATAGAAGGGGTTGTAAGAGTAATTGTAAGGTACCCTCCATACTAAGATGACAGTGCATGATTTAAAAACGGTATCCTTAAGGCTTAAAAGCTTATGTATGATCAAGCATCAGATATCAATGTTTCTTTAAACTGTTTTTTTTCATTTGTGTTCTCTCTGCTAAAGTGACTTGCGCATTTCTTGCTTTAGAATCAATGAATAAATTATCAGAATTAAACACTTTTCGAGTAAAAAACGTCTTCCACCTTTGAATGGAGGGTCACTTGAAATTACAAGTTTACAGACCCAATTCAAGATTAAAATTAACATGAATCTAAAGTCACACTCTTTAATTCAAGTTTTAATTGTAGATATAATGTATTATGTTTGTTTTTTTCATTTCATAATGTTTCAATCGTTTTTAGATTGAAATCAACGTTATAGCTTCAAGTTTTAATGAGAATCCTTACGTAACCATGGTTTTTTTTTCGTAGTTTTCAAGGGCTATAAAGGAGAAGACAAGATATTTATAAAGATGACCGTCGTGCTAAAGCCGGCTGTAAAGAACGGTCTGAAGGTGGAATTTGGGTTACTGCAAAAAATGTTGTCGTTTATGGGAATTATATTTTATGGAAAAAGGAATAAAAAACGTAGAACTGCATGAATGTAAATATTAATAAATTTGAATGTTCAGAATAGGTTATTGTATACGCGGTAATTGTACATCAGACAAATATTTCTTATACAAATGGAGTACTGTCTGCAAAGCATGTATATTGTATAATCAATCATATGGTTGGGCGGGCTGCGTCGGTTGTATTCTTCCTTCTATTTCATACTCCTTGGTAAGTCCCAACTCATTATATAGATCATACCAAACATCTGAGCTCGACTGAGTGACATTTTTTCTTCCTCCTTTATTCAGAGGCTAGAGATGTTATTGAGGTTTGAGCCTCTGACGGGAGTTTGAATCCCAATACACGGACCACACTATGCGAGGAAATATAAATCTGTCCGCCATAGAGTCCCCATTTATTAATCCAGATTTCGAGTACAGCTTTGTAACTTCGTAGCTCCTTTAGATTTGATTTCACGCCCAGGCTGGCCATGTATTCGGTACATCTCAGAAATTCATAACTTTTTTATAGGTTAACCAGAGACATAACATGTTTAAAGTTTTAAGAAAAACGAAAAACACGGTGCAGCATTATACGAACTATGTATATATGTTACAACCTTTCATCTTGGGAGTCAAGAAAATAAAGGTTTGTTACAAAAACACGATATATTGGTGTTTGTCAGGCATGAGGCCCTAGGCGGAAACTTTTTAATTCAATTAAAAACTTTGTTCCGTCCGAGTAATTACTGGCCTAAATCCCGGTTTACATATATACATATATATGCACAATATAGTTCTCTCACAATTTTCAGAAAATACCTGAAATAGTGAAAAAAGTTAACATCCAATGGGCAGAATTTCTGTTTCTTCTTTTAAAAAGCTAGCTTGAATTTGGTATCTTTATTTCAATAGTTTGGTTATTTGTACCCGATAAACGTCAAAACAGAAAAACTGAAATCAGTCCCAAAGGAATTGAGTCTTTGTCACAATCTCAGATTTTATAATCCCTATATCTTTGCAACCCAATGTCGTAAACCTTTGATATTTTAAACTGTTATTATTTGATCTAACAGAAGTCATAGTTTGAAATGTCAAAGGTTTACGAAGTTGGAATCCAAAGATATAGGGATTCGAAAATCAGAATTTGTGGCAAAGACTCAATTCCTTTGTTTGTGTTAACTCGTAGGAGTTCAAAATATTGCATCAAATAAATTGTTTAATTTAGGAAATCCACCAGGAAAATCTGTAACAGATTGTATGGTATTTTGTCTAGCCAAAAAACATACATTTTTTTTTAACATACAGGGTTATCATGAGCTCCGGACCTCCTGATAAACCTAAACTTGCGAATAGATGTACAGTACAATTACGACTATGTAATGGAAACCATATGTTAAATGAATGAACCCCCTTCTAATGAAATTTATGTGTGCAGATATAGCACATGTGCACCCTAGAACAAAAAATTAAATATTAAGTTAACGGCATTTTGCCGATAACTTTAATAAACTGACCCATGCAAGAAATTTATTTATGTCTAAAGTCTTGGTCTTATAGGGTAACAAGCATGAATATAAAGGAGTAAGTATGGTAAAAAATAAAGGCAA